ACCACTCGCCAGAAGAAGCTTCTTCCTCGCACCGTGTTTGGACACTTCGTGGGTATGGAAAGTGAAGTCACTCTATTTCGCATCTTCGTTCCGTCCACGCAGAAGATAATCATCACGCGTGCACAAGACTTCCATCATGACAACTCGGAGCATCTACCGAGTATGTCGACATTTATGGATGGTATCTCCCGTGAAATGGAACTCGATGCCTTCGGACAACCAACATTTCCAGACGAAGATCCGGCTCCCAGTATTGAAGGCGAATACGATGGGGAAGAGCAGTTGATATCTGTACTCACTGCAGCCTTAACACATCACCCTACAGTGTTTGTGTCGAAGAAAACTATTCGCGATCCGCTTCTTCCGCGTTCTTTCTCACGCGCCTGTGAAGACCCAAACTGGGCTGCCGCCATTGACAGAGAGTTCGATGCTCTTGTCGAACGTCGGACATGGATGCTTATCCCTCGGACTGTAGATATGCATCCAGTCCCATTTACTTGGGTATTCAGACTCAAGCCGCTTGACGACGTTGGGAACGTCCTTCACAAAGCTCGGTGCTGTGTACGTGGTGATCAGCAGAAGCCATTCACTGACTACGATCCAGACAACACCTACGCTCCAGTGGCCACACACGAAACGCTTCGCATCTTGCTGGCGTTCGCAAGTAGTCACAACCTGGAGCTCGAAGGCGCAGACATTTCTAATGCCTATCTCTACGGCAAACTTGACATTCCAGTTATTATGGAACAGCCCACGGATTCAAGTCGGCTTCAAAGGAAGCCTGGTCATGTTGCTGAAGTACATGGTTCCATGTATGTAACCAAGCAAGCCGGAAAGATATGGGGTTCTCTACTGGAGACTTGTCTGAACTCTTGGAAGTTCAACACCTCGCGATACGACGCTCGACTCTACTTCTTCCGCAAAGGCAACGAGTTTGTCATTGTCGCTATTGTGGTCGATGACATAGCATTTGCCTCCAATAGCACGCACTTGATGTCATGGTTCAAGGAAAGATTGTCGGCTCAGTTCAACGTTAAGTTGTTCGGTACACTTTCTTCCTTTATTGGATGGCAGATCTCCAAAGAACCCGACCACATCAAGGTCCATCAGACGCGCTATGCTGAGTCACTCCTACTAACTCACGGACTTGATCAAGCCAACTCGGTCTGGACTCCTCTGCCTTTGAATGCGGACCTGCTCCCTGCACATCCAGGTGAACACTTGCTGTCGCAAAAGGAGCACTCTCAGTACCGCCGAATCATCGGTGGTCTCAACTACTTGGCAGTTTGCACCCGTCCAGACCTTTCATTCCCAATATCTGTCTTAGCCCGCCACTTACATGCACCCACCCCCCGACACATGTCGTACTTGAAACGTGTCTTGAGATATGTGTCTGGTACATTGGACTATGGGCTACATTTCCGACGCAATTGCAACTTCAACCCAGACTCTATTGTTGCTTGCGTTGATGCCGATTGGGGAGGATGCAAAGACACGAGGAGGTCAACAACTGGATTCATTATCGCCATCAACGAAGCACCAGTTTATTGGAGAAGCAAACGTCAAACAGTCATCTCCTTGTCCTCCGCTGAAGCCGAGTACATTGCTCTCTCCTCTTGCACTAAGGAATTATCATGGCTTCGAAAGCTGTTCTGGGAATTCGCTCATGCATTGCAATGGAATGATAAGGAAGCGTTTGTCGCAAGTAATGTCATGATTGACAGTACTGCAGCTCAATCTCTCGCTACGAATTCTCAAGTCTCTGCAAAGAATAAGCACATCGACTTAAAGATTCACCATGTCCGTGAACTTATTGAGAATTCTGTGGTTCAGCTGACTCATGTGAGCTCTGAGAATCAACCTGCAGATTTATTGACAAAGATAATGTCACCTCAGACATTAAGTCAAATGGTTGACCTAATTCGTCTTGAGAAGTTTTAAGGTACTGAAAGCGCTACTCCAAGGGACGGTACACACTCAACTAATCGGTATGTTTCAATATCCACTGCGTTTTACGTCTAACAGTTTCTTTGTTTTGCGTCGTTTTATTTTCTAGCAGATGTGTGTGATACCGTCCTGCTCGATTTACCTTCTCCGTTTTTCCTGCAAAGGTTTTGGGAGTTTACTGGTTTTCTTGTCAAAAGAGTAGTTGCTACGTTGTGGTCACGTCGAGGAAAGAGTTTTCTGTGTAATGTGCCCTGTGTTCTGTGGGAAGTGTGCACAATGCTGTGTCGCTTTTTCAACTGCAGAAGTTGTACTGCGTGAATGAGCATACAAAACAAATTGGTCGATGAACAAAGGTGTTGTTAAGTCTTTGATCTATGTTTGACAAAGCCACAGGAAGATGGTGCAAGGGTCCAGAAGTAGTTTTACATCAAAAAGTTTGTGATGTGGTTCAGTTGAACGGAATATGTCTTCCGAAGGACGGTGCCAAGATAGGCATATCATAGGGCCTTTGGCCATGAGGTGGCGAAAGCCATTTTGTCCAATAAGAACGCTCCGGACCGCCGCCGTCCATACTTGGACGGCTGGCATTGGGCGACGAATGTAGTCGGACCAAAAGGGAGAATTTTGTATGCGCACCATCGTAGATTTAACTATTAATTAGTAATCTACACTCGACGGCGGCGCGGTATCGCGCCCACCAGTCTCGGACTGGATGACATAAAGTTGTGTGACCGGGGGCAGCTCGCCCCCTCACACCGGGAGAAGACACACTCTCGATCACGTTTATTGCTCACCTCGTTCAGAGGCTTGCCGAGGGCCTCATATCGCACGACGCACAGCGTGTCTGCAGTGCAGACAGTGCAGACTCTGCACGATGGGATCGAGGCGACAATATGCTTGTCTATCGGCTGCTACAGCGACTGTCAGCCATTGTAATTACAGTAAAATTGTTGGCTTGATTATTGTCTGCACTATGGTGCAGACATTTTCGGCAGTAGTGCGGACATCTGCAATTTTTGCACTGCACTGAACCCCGCCAAGCCCTTTTCAGTAACATTACGGTTTTCCCCAAAACCTGTTAATGTCACCGCTGTCACGGCGCGTATGTCCCCGTCAGCCGGTAGACAAGAGGGAGAAGACCAACCGCTTTGGCAAAGAAGTCACGCGACAGGATATATGCGTGCTCTGGATGTGAGAGGCGACGTGTGCTTTGCAGTCAACGCGTCGGGCCAGCAAGTTCGGCACGGTTGCCCGTTTCTAGAGATTTGTTGAAGAGAGATATTTTTTCAAATATTTTATAGTCGCACTGTGCCACCAACAGGGCACAGTGACGCTGATGTAGGAGAGTGTTTTGTCTCATGTATTGATTATCACACAGTATAACCTGTAACACGCAAAATACATATATAAAATAGATTTCCTACTTAATAATAACACAACCCGAATAGTTTTCGACATCTTCCTCTCCTCGCTAGGTACACCTTGCGTTCTTGTCATGCGCCGCTGTCGTCCCCTCCTTTCCTTTTTGCGCTCGATTTTTCTAGCATTCTCTTCGTCCTCTTGTACTCGAAAGTCCTTTTCGCCCCGCAAACCCCACTCTCTTTGCCCCTGCAGCCGTATTCCTGTATTCTAATCCCTTTCCCTCTCCCCGTCCTCGCTCTCTGTCCTCTCTCTCTGTCCTCTCTCTCTGTCCTCTCTCTCTCTCTATGTCCACTTTCTACCCCCCCCCTTCCCCCTTCTGTCCTCGTTATCAGTCCTCGTTATCAGTCCTCGTTATCAGTCCTCCTTATCTGTCCTCTCTGTCTGTCCTCTCTGTCTGTCCTTGCACGGTCGTCTCCCTCTGTCCTCACACTGTCCGTCTCTCCCTGTCCTCGCGCGGTCCTCCCTCGTCCTCCCTCGTCCTCTTGTCTTATCTCTTCCTATCACATCCTATCTCGTCATCTCTCGTCCTCCTTCGTCCTCTTTCTATCGTCTCTCGTCGTCTCTCGTCCTCTTTCTATCCTCTCTCTTATCCTAGTTTGTGCTCTCCATATTCTCTCTCGTCCTCTGTTGTCCTGCTTTGCATTCTTTACGTCCCTTCTTGTCCTCTCCTCATCTTCTCTCCCGTCCTCCATTTTGTCTTCAACCATCGTCCTCTGCGTTTCTGTGTTTCCCCTAATTGTTATACTGACGCAGGAAAGAGAATACAGTGGCTCCGCAGGGACTGTACTCTGCGCTCTGCACCTGAAAATGTACTAATAATTCAGTCATAATGACTGTGTCAGTGGTCCCCAGATAGGCCCAGTTGATATTTTCTGCGCGTGAGTGGAAGTCCTTTTGGGGAGATCTAAAAGCTCTGTTGGTCAAAAAGCATACATGTTCTTGCTGTTTCTCAACTGCGCAATGCGCTGGCCATCCAATCAGGACATAAGCAGCAAATTTCATTTCATCAGGCGCTTACCAACCACCTAACCATTCTTCTGTAAACATCTGGGTCGTACATTTGAAATTCGCACTCTGCCTGTGTTCTAGAGAGTATCATATTTCAGTGCTACATAGAATTCGTGCAAAAGACTGAGACTGAAAAGTGGTGGGTGTTAATTCTTCCCCTACTACGCGTTACAACACATCACAGCGCAAGACCGTGATATAGTGAATGGCAATTCTTTTGGGGCGATTTCAGATCCTTACTGTTAAATAGCTGACGTAAAGCAGATCAGCAGTGCCTGTCAGTGCACTCTGAAAATGGAAGTTATTGATGCTCCACTTTTGCTCATCGTATTCTTCACAGAGGCCTCGCGACATGGGTGCTTAGAATCCAATGGGCAGCCCATCTTCAAATCTGTTTTCGGATCAGTTCATCCTTTGAGTGCCATACCAGTCTACATCGCAGCAACCGCGGCGACTTTTTCAACGCAACAGTTTTTTTTCGCAAGTCACAACCCCTTTCAAGACTTTGTCTGCTCCTAGACGTATCGCTACGTAGAATTCTGGTCCCTTCAGCCCGTTCGACATAAGCTGTCTGCGAAAGTTTGTTTTATTCAGAATTTGGGTATCTCAGGACCGTATTCCTTTTACAGCTCTTCTCTTTCTTCGTTGAATACGTCATCCGTCAAATGGTCGTCTGCATCCATAGCCCGTTTTCCCATGACTTCCAATTCTCCCACCGTCACAAGGCCAGCCCCACCATAGGAATCAGGAGCCGTGGAAACAAATCGCTCTCCATTTCCGCTGAGGTCCACTGTCCAAGCGAAGAAATTTCCAGATTGCGAGTGCTCGTGCGGAAGCCAGATGGACTCGGCTAATGCCCATTTTGACTTTCTCCTGCCTTTCACTTCTTCAAACATGTACATGACACCGTGGTCTTTTCCATTGCCCTTATTAACCCCCGGTGCGCCAACGACGACAGCTTTTCCGTCCCCAGAGAGCGCAACGGAACCTCCGAAATTATCCTCCATGGCCCTCTTTCCAGCGACCAATTCCTGAAAGTGGTCAAATCTGGGCTGCCCGGCCTTTCCTTCTTTCCTGACGAAAAGATAGGCAGCGCCTCTATAATCGGCTTCCCCATCAGCACCAACGACAAGTTTAGTCCCTTTGCTATCCATAGCAATTTTGAAGCCGAAGAAGCCAAACTGCTGGGCATTAGGCGACTCGAGGCGTTGCGCAAATGTCCAGTTGGTGGAAACATCCGGTCTAGTATACACATAGACTGCGCCTCGTTCCTCCTCAAACCCTGTACTCCCCACCGCCATAAGATCCCCCTTACCATTGATGACCAGACTAATGCCAAAATTGTTGCGAATGCGAATCCCCCGCGGCCCTGTCGAATCGGTAATATCCGGCGGGGCTATCCTCTGCACCAGGCTACACTTGCGACATCTTTCCTTGCAACTATACGAGTAAACCTCGCCATTGTTTGCGCGTCTCCCCTTTGCGCTAGCAACAATGGTGCTACAAGCATCATCCACGGCGACCGCCCACCCAAACACATCGCCCCCCCTCCTATGGGAATTATGCAACATACCCAAATCGGTCCACTTATCGGCGTCGTTATCATAGGCGAAGACAAAGACGGCGCCCTTCTGCAAGTCATGGCCCGGGGCGCCGATGACGAGGGCGTCGGGGCGTTCGGTGCAGGCGCACGAGAAGCCGAAGCCGCTGCCGCGGGACACGGCCCTGAGCTCGCGGGGCTTCTTCTGCTGGGCCGGCTGGGTGTGGTTTGCGCAGAGGCGGGTGCGGCGCCAATGGTGCGGCTTGTCGCCGGGGGGCGTGACGAGGTCGTACACGTAGACGGCGCCGCGGAAGCTGTCGAAGCCGTTGGCGCCGACCAGCAGGCGCGTGCCGGCGCGGCTCAGAGTGACGGCCTGGCCGAACTTGAGCTTGTCCGCGCGGTCGGCGAGCGGCGGCTGCAGCACTAGCGGGCGGGGCGGGGCGAGATCGACGG